GTTTCTTGCGCGCTTATGTTTTGTATGATTATTGGAGGGGGTTTGTTAAATCTGACCTGGTCCTCTTTTTGTTGCGATAATGTGGGCGATGGCTGCGATATTGGAGCTTCGTTCTTTTGTTTCTGGCTGGTACCTTCGTAGTTTGGCGTGACCTGTGTCGGGGTCGAGTTTTTCGGGCTGGTTGTAGCAATTGGGTTTTCCTGGTTGTAACTTTTTGGGTCCTTGTTGCTATCTGGCTTGTTTTGTCCGTATTCTTCGAATGTGTTGAGTTTGTTTAGAAGTTCGTTTATTTGGATTTGTTGCGCTTCGTTCTGACTACGAAGCTCATCATTTTGCTTTTTTAAATCGTTGAATATTTCTTCTATTGATATGTTTTTGTTTGATTTGTCCTCAGGTGCAGTGGTTTCTTGGGTGCTTCTTTGTGAATGGTTGCTGTTGCTTCTGGCTATTTTTGGCGTTGGAATCTGCTGTTGTACTTTTTGTTTTCTTTTGTTGGACATTTTTTGTAGCATTTCGTTCATTTCTGTGGTGTTTAGCGAACCACTTTTTTCTCTTTTTATTATTTTCTGTATGGCTTCTTGGTTTATGCTTGGTTTGGCCATGCTTGCAATATTACTTTGGCTTTTTGTATTGTTTGAACAGATTGTAGGTTGTTCTTGTTTGCCGCCTGCGGCGAGGCCGCATGGCTTGCCGGCGCTTGAGTCGATGATCTTTTCTCTTTTTTTTACTGTTCTTGATGATTGATTGATGTCTCGACTTTTGTTGCCCCGAAGATGATTAATTTGTTTGCGTATCTACTTTCTTTATGCACTTGAAGCTTTTCGCACTGACTGGTCACTGCCCTAACCTTAAAATCGTATGGCATTCAGCGCGTTGGTCCTTTGCGGACGAAAATTTTATAACTTATTGCTCTCTAATGGTCGCTATTGGTAGGCACTTGATTTTTTAAACTTTGAATTATTGATTTGTTATCAGATATCGTAGTTCAAGATGTTAGAAGTTTGTTTTTTTTAGGAACGTGGCATGCTCGGTATCTTGTTGCGCGCGCGGTGAACAGACCCTGCCTTAGACGCAGTGGTTGAGCAACGTTGTTTTGGAACTTGTATATATAGTAAGGAGAGAAGCAACAAGGACTTTCGAGAATTAAATTAAGCAGGAAGCCATCTGGTAGCCACGGCGCACGATCTTGTTTCGCGAATCTCACCTAGATGGAACTACTTGAATCGAAGGACTAGCCGATTAGGGCTCGTTTAGGTATAGTTGGATTCGATGGAAGAAGAAAGCAAACTTTATCTTTGATTGTTAAATAGAAATATTTTTGTTGTAGTTTTCGTACGTTGTACATTCATAATGTTCATTGTTCAATTAGAGTTTATTACAGCGATATATTTGAGATTAATGGGGTGTACATTTTATTTTCAGCAAAACGGACGTTGTCCTTAATGCTTTACCTACAGACGGTTCTTCCATAATCCGTTAAAAATAAGTTATCAGTGACTGAGGATTTTTCGATAAATTTGTTCAGGAAGACAATTGTATTTGCGAGTTAACTAGTAATTTGGGGTAACTTAATTTAGCAGTTTCCATTACGATTGTTCTTTAATCTGTAGTATTGGTAAATGTGTTTCTGGACGTCTCAAAAATCGATTATCTGATCGAAATCATTAAAATATATTTAGTAGCCATTATCGTCTACAGTAAACTTAATGTTTACAGTTTAATCAGACAAACAATAAAAGATCAATACATAGTTTCCTGATCTGTTATGAATAAATATTCGATTCTGAATTTAACTTCCTGCGAAAAAGATTTTTACAGCTTCCAAAAATTCTCATCCATAGAGGGTTAGAGGATTTTTTCATCTTCCAGTGAATGCTCAATGGATTCGTTTGGTTTCCAATCCGAGCGCATCGAGATCTGAAACGCACATCGGTAATTCAATAAATCGACAGAAATAAACGGCCTCCTGGACGGTCTCCAGCTTACCTCGCGCCGATCTTTTTCGTAAACCTGATCCTGTTTACCTGCGGATCCGCGGTCACATTATCCATCAGATATCCGCCGGACATTCAATCTCGTACGATTGATTCTCGATTTCTCGAATTTCATCGATCCGAGCTGCCGTGCTCGTTACTCGTGGAATATATTCGCGACCGAGCCGCCCGCGAGAACGGTCGCACGATCCACCATTAAATCCGCACGTCGGTCCTACAGGACACGTTATCCCGGTCTCCCCGTGAATCGATCATGAACATCGAGGGTAAAATCGCGCTCGTCACCGGCGGAGCAAACGGGATCGGCTTCTGCACCGCCCGAAAACTTCTTCGGAACGGAGCGAAGGTATATTTGTCTTCATTTTATTTTCTTTGGGTGAGATTATGTGAAATCAATGAAATTTGAGAAAAAGAATTTTACCTTCCAATGAAAGAGAAATAGAATTTTACTTTTCAATGAAAGAGAAAAAGAATTTTACTTTCCAATGAAAGAAAAGGAATTTTACTTTGTAATGAAATTTGAGAAAAAAAATTTTACTTTGAAATAACAGAGAAAAGAAATTTTACTCTGCAATGAAATTTGAGAAAAAGAATTTTGTCTTTTTAACATTAGAACAATCGCACCCGTCAAAATGAATTCTTATTTCGCAACTATTGATTTGAAAAATAATTTGTTTCACTTTAATACTGTAATCAATACATGTAGAAACCGAAACGAAATCTATTATTATAATTTTTATAACGTTCACATGTTAATCACGTTAAACGCTGGGTTGTTCTGATGTTAACACTAAAACAACCAGACAGTCGAATCTTCGAATGTTGAATCTTTATAAGGAAATTTAAAAAAGTGATCAGTTACTTTAATTACTTAGCAATTCTAGTATTAACATTATTTGTTTTTAATGATAACATTTGACTCTCTAATGAAGGCAATCTTTTAAGGAAAATCTTTCCAAGATAATTTGGTGCATATTAAAATATATTTATTATAAATTTCTCCCTCATAAAACAAAATCTTAGATGAACTAATTAAAAACACGAAATAGTGATTTGTAATAGTAAAATACATCAACATGAGATGTGTCAATAAATAATAGTTTATAGTATGTAGAATCGACATTTGTTTGTTATTGTTTTGCTTGATTGCCAGTCTGACAATATATAAATAATATTGTTTCCAATCTCAATGAATTCTATTATGTTTCCAGGCAGTGGCTCTGTTGGATTTAAACGACTCCGGAGGCGAAAGCGCAGCTGCCGATCTAAACAATGAATTCGGGAAAGATCGCGCGATCTTCATCGCCTGCGATGTCTCCAAGAGCGAACAACTTAAAGGTGTTTACAATTCTATTGCAAGTATTACTTAACACAGATCAATTAATTACCATTAAGTAAAGCACTAAACCGTCTCATCTTTATGATATAAAATAATAATTATTAATCAAATTCTGTATATATTATTTAGAACTGTAACAATCTAAAACTATATTTCATAGTAAATACAATTTCATTACAAACATCACATAATAGACGTAAAAACAATCATTAGATTCTTCTCTGATCCTCCGTTTCATTTTTCTTAACAGTACTTCTGTGTAAAACAATACTTTTCTCGATTCTTAAAGTATTCTTTACAACACTACGAATTGAACAGTGTTTTTTTCCATTTCCTAGATTCGCGACAAATCGAAGTAAATAGTTCCGGCCGACTTTGACCGTGGAACTAAGAGATAATAATATTATCGTCACGTCTTTTTTCCAAAAATAATTAGAAATGACGTTAGCGTTCCAGGAATACATGATACCGTATTTACTAAATTTACTAAATACTGTTTACTAACTACATTGTGAAGATTGTATGCGTCGTCTGATCGTTGTAACAACGAAAAATACTATTCCTGTTGACAGAATCGTTCAAGAAGGTAGTCGAGTCATATGAAACGCTAGACATTGTTGTAAACATCGCGGGCATTATGGATGACGCGGATTGGGAAATTATGGTGGATGTAAATTATGTAAGTAACATCATTGCTCTACGTTATCGATAATATTACACAACATAGAACCACCGAGCAACCGTAAACAACAAACGTAACCAAAAAGAACGGCGCTTATCATTGCTAACGGCGATTTTTTCCCCGAATTTACGTTTGACTGATACTTTTTTTCAATGGCTGACGTGTTTTTAAAAAATACCACGTCATTGTTACTCACTTCTCGTAACAGAAGGGCATTGTTCATGGTACGATTTTGGGGTTGCAAACCATGGGCAAGTACAAGGGCGGCAATGGCGGCACTATCGTGAACATGTCCTCCGTGGCTGGACTGGAAGGGATACCGATCGCACCGATCTATGGTGGAACGCAGTACGCGATCGTTGGGTTCACTCAATCGTTGAAGGTAAAAATGAAATGTTTAATGTCGATAACCGTCATTTAAATGTAAAATAACTTCATATGTTATAATATAATATCTGATGATTTTATATGTTGTAATAAGAAATAACTTTACATTTTATACTTGAGAATAATTTTTTATATTTATATTTAATAAGAATTCTACTACAACAATGCATTAGGATTATTCACTAATATTATTAATGATCATTCGGTGCTAGTAACAAATAAATTTTTAATGGACAAATGTTAGAGTGAAACATAATTTCATTAACGTGAAGGAAGTTGCTTCAGTTATTTATAGTTATTGATGATGATATTCAAAATAGCTACGTCATTTTATTGTTACATTAATATTCTGCATCGTGGATGTATGGTATATAATTGACAGCATTATTATGAGAAAACCGGAATACGTATGTTGACGATATGCCCTGGACTTACGACCACCGCTATGGCTGCCAGATTTATGTCTACTAAAGAACACGCCATGGATCTACTTGACGAGGAAACCGCGGCTTTAGCGATGGCCAACATGCAGAAGCAACCGTATGTTGAAGAATTTGAATTTTACTTGATTCTCAATTAATCGCAACAAAAAAATTAAACGCTTATTAAGAACTAATACCTGATACAAATAGTTAATCTCGCAATCGAACTTCGAATTGCATGTGTAATATTCGAGATTTACTAAAATTTGTTACAATAAAATATTTTATGAATATTAATTAGGTTTTCCTCTCTTTTGCAATACGACAAAAGCTTAAATAAATCAAAGAAATTATTTGAAGCTCCAGTTTCAGCAAAGTTAATCTATAATAGTCTATATTTGGAAACATTTACGTTTTTGTTGCGATTATTATTAAAACGTCAGTTGAAAATTATATCTTTAAAGAATTTGTGATATGTAGAATTAAAATATGTTAAAGAGATGTCGTCTATTAGATCGCTAAATTCGAGCTGATAACACGACGATGTAGACAAATAATCCGAATCTGTTCGTATTGTAAATGTCTTTAGAAAATTTGCCTTTTTTAATGCTAGCCACTGTCAAAATATTTGTTAACAGGCCTGAACATGTGGCGAGCGCCATAATACAATTAATCGAGAACGGAAAGAACGGTGCGATAGTCGTCAGCGAGAACAATCAAGAACCGTACACCATTGAATTCCCTAGTTACACCACCCTGAAGGTGCCAGCATAAATGTCACCGGAAATACTAAAATTTCACTATTTAAAATTGAACCAACTTTAACTTAAAATACTCCAAAATACTCTTTATATTCGAAATTTTGTTAAAATACTCTGAAAGTATTAGGTTAATCGAAGAATCTTGTCGTTTTACACTTCAATCTGGCGTTTATATTATAATGTGCGAATAAATATTGCCGGCAAGTGAATTAAAAGACAGTAGTAGGTTTCTACGTAAAAAATTCAATGCGCAATCCAATAATTTAATTCAGCGAAGTGATATTTTTGTAAAACTTCGTTGAAAAGTGCGATAAGATTTTATGGCTAACTTAATACATGACCACCTTTCGAGAGTTCTAATACAGTGGGTTCTCGTGCGACCAAAATCATCGACATTTCCTATTTCATTCGTTATTTTATTTATTACAATTGCAGTGATACAATCAAAAGTTTCTTATAAAACTTAAAAGACACACTACGGCGACATCTTGAATTCATGCGTTGAATATCTTAAAAATTCATTTTAGAGAATACGTATCGACTGTAAAATTATGGAAGTCACAAAGAGTTGTAGTTTCAATTAATCCATGTATGATAATAATATTTTATTATCACTCTGTTATAAGTATTCAATAGTTTGTGTAAGATGAAAGCCTGCCTCTCTTATATTCGCGCTGATAATTTTATTATTATCGTTTAGTTGTACTTTAATATTTTTTAGTATTATACAATTATATCAATGGGATATTAATATCCAATAAACATAAGAAATTATTTAACATAATACCATTAAATCGATTTAATGTAATTTATTTTGTCTTGAATTATTATCGCTATACGATAGAACGTAAAAACCTTATTCGACGGGAAGATTATATAATGTTGTTTTCGTCTTGTAAATATTGTAAGACATTGCCGATTAATGTTACTAGATTTTCTTCTTTTTCTTCTGCAATAAATTCTTCTCGGCGATATCAATTTAAATATTAAATATTAAATATAAATATTAAAAGGATTTTTCGATATAAACGTTTTACATGTAAAAAGTTATTTAAATTATTTAAATATTATTTAAATATTAAATAATTTATTTGAATATTTTGTTAATTATTAAATTATTGCATAATCACAAGCGCAAGCTTGTCACTTCATGTTAAAAATCAAAGATTTAAATGTGATCAGGCGAAGAAAGAAATTAATACGTAATTAGTACAAATTGCGTTCAATATACATTAGAAAATTCATTGCGAAAATCAATTATAATAATATCAATACGTAAGCAAATATTAACAGCAACTGATTATTGTCAGTGCATTCGCCTGTTAAGCGCAATCAAACTCGTCTCATATGCATTAATCAGCGCTGACCATTCATGAATGGAACAAACCGTGCGAATATAAAAATAAACATATTGATTTTATATTTCGCAACTATCCGTGTAACCAAATTTACTTGTCAAAGTTTTTTACAAAAGGATCAGATGAATCAAATTATCTCATCATTTCTTCGGTCTCGAGAAAAAGAAGAAATGCTCGATAATTTCTCGCATGTGTGCGCCATGCAGCGACAGTAATCTACAGAGATACGCCTTCTCTTTAATTATCTCGGCGAAGGAACGTTTTACTCAATTGTTGGGAGCGCACCGTACAGTACGGATCAGCTTGTACATCGAGAGGACTACTTACCTACCTTCACTAAACGGTGACTGTTATTAAAATTTTACTCGAAGTTTTAGTGAAATTAATTTTACATTAATTGAGGGTCATTTACTTCTATGTTTATTTATAATAATGTAGATTTTGGTCTCGTTAGTAGTACTTTTAGGTACAATCAAGTATACTTAATTTCCAGTGTTGAAACGTTGTTAAGAATATCAGAAACTTCTTGAGAAAAAATTGAATTTTTGAAAGAAGTGTTGTGAGCTTGTTAATGTTTCTTAAAATTTTAATTTTTACTTGTGTTTCTACTTTTCGTCGAGTGTAAGTACGCCATTTGGAACATCAGTTTGACAGTTACAGTTCTTAATTGACAATCTGATTATTGATTTAATATTTGTAAGAGTTAGAGTTATTGATCAGAGAATATTTCTGAAATACTGGTTAATGATTAGAGCATTTAAATCTTAAGTGTGTTGATCGTATTCCGGTTGTAATCATTGACTGTTGATGTTTGGTTTTTACTCTCTCTAGTATGAATTATTTAGTATTTACGACGAAGTGCAATACAATTGCATAACACACATCATATCCCTTTCATAAATAAGATTTATTGTACAACGGTTCAGTAAAAGAAGATAGTCGAAATGTTTTATTTACCTCGCCTTCGTCTTAAGAAACAAATAATATAAGATATATTGCCAAATTTACGAATATTAATGCAATCAACTTTGTGAATTGATATTAGACCATGGCCAACATCAAGAACATGAACGTTTTGATCACCGGTGCTGCTGGAGGCATCGGCTTCTCCTACGCCCAACAGTTCCTGAAGAACGGAGCTAAGGTAATATTTTCTACTTTTTACGTTAAACTTTATTTATCCAACGATCAAAATTAAATTCACTTTAATTTATAAAACTGTTAACTGAAGATAAAATAATTGCAAACAGTATTATGTATTAGATACAATAATTTCTATAAATTCTATTCATTTCGGTGGACATAATTAAAATTACTTTCATTTAATTCAGCGTTATTTAAAATTAGAATTATCAATTTCGAAATCGACGAAAGATATGGATATCGAATAGACTATTTATATATTCTACTGATAATAGAAGCACTTACGGTCTCCGGTGATGTATATATAGTTACTGACAAAAGCATTTACCTGTCTATCTACTTATATTTACAGTTTACCTATTTAACGAATGCTAAAGTTGTAGTTACGAAGTGTAATTTATTTTTTAAAAATTAGAATAACAAAGCAATAATTGTTATTTGAAATTAATTAATTTTAATTTGACAAAACATATCATTAATGTGAGTCGGCGAATACTTTTGTGAGTAACCGTAGGTAATAGTAGACGAAGATTATTTGTAACTATTTGAAGTTTCTAATAAACATGAAATCACAAGCTTTTACACTTCGCAACATCGCAGATTTTTCTTACATAATCTTAAATTTAATTCTCCAGATGGTCTCCATTCTTGACTTTAACACATCCGCCGGTACGACAGCCGTAGCTAACTTAGAAAAAGAATTTGGAAAAGGCAAGGCCTTGTTCTACACATGCGACGTAACTAACGTCCAACTTTTTGAAGGTACTTCTTTACTTTCCAATTATATATTTGAATGCATAATCTATCGAATTAATTATTCTAACACTGGAACTACCAAGCATTTACTACCATTAACATGTAATTCCTATAAAAGTTGTAATAGTAGATTATTTTCAGTTTCTTCAGACATTCGTTATAGTATCTAAGTGAACCTATTTATTTTCAAGATCATTTCGAATATTCAATGCTTTTAAGATATCAAAAATTGCGAAACAAATCGAAACCAGTCATTTTGACTGGTACGGTAGTTCTAGTGTTAATGAAAACAAGTGAAAATGCAGTGAGACAACAAGTGTGCATTTATTGTTTATTCATTGGTTAGTTAGAATGCACCGGAATGCATAAATATAAGTCACAAATGAGTAGTACCTTACAAAAGCTTGAGGGCTTCAGATAAAGAGAAAAACATAGATACATAGATATTTCTATGCCATGTTTCTAATCCTCTATTTAGTAACTCATTAAAATTGTAAAATCATATTCTCAAAATATTATAATAGTAACTGCAGCAATATTTTGTTCATATCTACCTCTTTGATTATTCAGAATTCAATAACGAAATTGTAATTGACTTGGATTAAATGTTATAACATCGAGTAAAAAGGACTTCTTGCATTTATCATTTTTGATTACAGAAACATTCAAGAAGGCTGTCACCACTATGAATGGTGTCGACATTGTCATCAACAACGCCGGTTTATTGAACGACAAAAACTGGGAGAAAACTCTCCGCGTGAATTGCGTAAGTGACATTTATACATATTTAATGTATCCAAACATTATTTCTTAGACAAGGTGACTTTTATCTTAAGTGAAATTCCCTGATTAATTTCATGAAAATATAATTGTTTAATTTTGTCTATAATTGTAGTTTCAGAATGACAGTAACTCAATTATCATGATATTCGTTTCGACTTTTATATTATTCATCAGAAGTCCAAACCATCATTTCAACAGAATTCGTTTTGAAACTTCAAACTGATAATCAGTGCCTTTCAGAATATATCAATTCACGTGACCCTTAGTTCCCTTCATCACAATGATTATCTCAGTATTTACATCGGCCCAGTAAAAAATTGTGTCCGTTACAGTTTAACTTCCAGAAAAGTAGACACATTTTTATTCCAATGGATTTTCATGCATTTCTCGAAAACGTGAAAGTGCAAAATTGTATGCTTTTATAATATTTGTTAAAACAAACTATTATGTATGGTAATCTTATTTTTGTAATTTCATTCTTCAAAATTTGAATTTGTATAATTATTTACAGTTTACTTCTAACATTTCAATTTGGATTCCAGGGTGCTGTGATCCAAGGATCGCTTCTCGCCATGGACCTCATGAGCAAGCACAAAGGAGGAAAAGGTGGCACCCTCGTCAACATCGCCTCGATCGTGGCTCTCGACGTCTTCCCGATATGCCCGGTATACTGTTCCAGCAAACACCAAGTACTCGCCTTCAGTCGCGCTTTGCAGGTAAACAAATTTTATAAAACCTAATCTTTAACAAAACATCCCCTAATGATTCATGTAATCCTTTTCCATCATATTCAGTAATTCCTGAATCTAAGATATTATTATTAATATATTGGATTGGCTAAAGAATCTTATCCTCTTTCCCAATATATCGTTCACCATATGATATATGACAAAATATTGTAAATTAATAATTACATTGAAAGTGTCTGAAGAACCATACAATTTACCTTTAAATTTATTTGAAAAATTCAAGGAAACCTTCTAATCTAATAATTCCATTGACGATCAAGTTTAAAATTTTAAACATAAACACTATTAAAATATTGTGATTATTTTAATATTATTATTTACTATTAAAGTCGTTATTTTACTATTAACTTTAAATATATAAAAGCTCAAGTATTTTTGTCATTTGGTTACGTTGATTGTTCATAAAAGAAATGGCGGAATAATGTTTTAGTAGCAATGCGAACATAACTTTTTGGAAACAAAATTATAATATCCATTTCCTGGTATTTCAGCCTAGCTTCGACAGAACCGGTGTCCGCGTTCTCGTGATGTGCCCAGGAGTCACAACGACCAACCTGTTCAATGCCATACAACAAGGCACACTCGACTTCCTCGACAAAGATGAAGTGATAAACTCGTTGAAGGACTTCCCAACCCAACTGTGAGTATCAACACCATACAATTGTCATAAAATATAAACGAGTGCTACCGTTGAAAACATTGAAGCCACTAACTTCAAATCAAAAGCCAGTTTGGGCTTTGTTTGCGAATAATATAGAAATATAATTGTGTACTGTTTTCATATAACATAAAAATGTAATTTTGTATTGTTTTCAAATAATGTAAAAACATAATTAACACGTTGACTGCCACGAGAATTTCTAGCGTTTCGTTTAGCAATACTTATTTTTTAATAAGAAAGGCAAATGGTATTGAAAACAATTATTAATTATTTACTATCACAGTAGTCATATTACGTTACAATCTAGCTACTTATATTACTAAATGATTTTAAATAAAAATATTTTAAACTTGACTTCCACGGTGATCACCGATGACAGGAGATTCATTTTACTTTTATTTAAAATCAAGTTTTTTATTGTAATTGTTCTTCAACAATTTGGAATCTCCTGTCATCGGTGACCACCGTGACAGTCAACGTGTTAAGTACTGTTTTCATATAACACGTGGCTCCAATGGTAAAGCTAATAAAAATGTATATGTTTCTTATATTTTTATATTTATTTCATTAGACCCGAGAATGTGGCGAAAGCAATGGTCACCCTCATCCAGAAGGGCCAGAACGGAGATGTGTGGGTCAGCGAGGGAAACCAGCCCCCAGTCGCCGTTGAATTTCCCCCCGTTAGGAGGGTGAAAATCCCCAACGTTTTGTAAACTTAATTACAGAAATGAAGAGAAGATTCGTGATCGCAGGAAATTGTAGAAATTACGAATGATGTACTGATTTCTTGAATTTTTTTTTATTAAAATGTTGTTTTGAAAGGTTTCCGCATTGTCTAAGATTTGATGACGTTATTCGATGACAGTATTCCTGTGTAGCTACCCTCGAAGCTACCAAACTTCGTTGCTTCGTTGTTAGAATCAGCATTTCTGAAAGTTTTCGATTATTTTTGCGAGGAGATCAAATATTGAAGACTCTAGGGGATTCATTATTTTGATATCTGGAATATTTCTTCCACTTCCAATATCTCAGTGTTCTATGAATCTGAAAAAAGCACTTTCTTCTTTGTATGAAACATTTAAAAATATTAATAAACACAAACAGCTTTAATTTTCCCCTCAATATATACGAAAACGAATGTAGACTCACAGTTTTCATGAATTACAATTACACCACTACAGTACCATTATTTCATATCACATAATATCATTCATCTTAAAATAAACTTAAATGAAAATCCCCGAAAAACACAAAGTAACTTGAAAGTACAACGTTGTATAAAACCAGATATCAAAACCTAAATGAAGTCTTAAATTCTATTCGAAGAATTAATTTCACTAACCAAAAGATTACATAAAAGTAAACTATAAATGACATAAATGCGCCACACGTCTCGATTTCAATGTTCCCAAGAAGTAACTACAGTCCAATCTGCTACCAACGATGAATTATCACCGAAACGAATTCCCCAAAATCGAAAAATGTCCGATTAATTAATGCCATGTAAACGCCTCGATCGCCTCGTTTCCGTTCCGGCGCGAGCGTCGAATCCGCGGTCGCGAGAGATCAAGGGGCGAGTCGTGTTGCAATGGAGGATCGATGAAGATAGAAAATGATCCCGGTCACTTCGCGAATCCGAGATCTCATGGCGCACGAGAGGTCGAAGATCGTGATACGAAAGCGAATCGGCTGGAAGAAGAGGATCTTGGACGCCAGCGGCCGTCAGTGACGAACGAGACGTCGCTAGCAGCTTCATCGTTCGAATCCAAGCGTCTGCCGTCGCGAAAATCGTTGACAATTAACGACGCGAAACTTTCATTCGCCGCGATACGTCGAATTTCAGATTATTCGACGCGATTCCTTCTCTCTTCTCGTAAATGAACGAATTTAAACAGCGGTGACCAGATGCGACACTGCTTCCAAGAACAGTTGGAGAGTGGAGATTGCAATAAACAGGACTTAATTGTTATTGAAAAGGTAAAGACTAACGTAAAGATGATTGAATGGATAACGTTGCATTTTGTGAGATTTTGTGGCACCTTGAATGATAACAATTAGTAAGAATACGTAATGTTTCTTTGAATGAAATGTCTTATGTATTTGTTTTATGTTGATCTTCACGCGTAGAAGTTATTCAAAATTTCTGTCTACTCTAAAACAACATATTGAATCTTTACTCGTTTGTAATTGATATGTATGAATAATGTTTATCACTGATAAAATTGGTAATCTCTTTTGAAATTTGAAATTATTTAAAGATATTTTGAGTGATGCGAGTGGAATGGTGTCTACCAGGCTTTAGAAAGGAAATTTAATATCTCTCAGAAGAAGCTTCTCAAAATGTATTTTAAATCAGAATCTGCAAAACTGTGTTTTCCAAACAATATTTTCCATTTTAGGGGAATGAAAACAATCTAAAATTTGTTTATTTCCAGTAATCTTTGAAGAAGGAAAGACAGTAGAACCGGAAACATGCAGATCAAGGATAAAAGAGCGATCGTAACGGGAGCAGCGAGTGATCTGGGTCTGACTATTAGCAGAGAACTGCTTCGAAATGGCGTCTCCGTGAGTGATAATTTGCTTTAATAATCACAGGGCTAAGAAAAATATTATCTTATCTAAATTAACCGATGTTCGTGGGAATGAGGTTTCAGATAGTCGCATTGATCGATATTCGCGAATCGGCCGGTACAGAAGCGATGAACGCGCTGAACGCGGAATTCGGACGGAACCGAGCTGTTTTCTTCCACTGTGACGTCACGAACAACTCCCAATTCGATGGTATTTATTAACCAATCACTACTGGAACGGCAAAACGATTTATCTTTCATGAAAAGATCAAAAATACGACAACAGAAATTTCGTGAAATCCAATCGAAACTACAACAACAATCGTTTCTCAACAGACACTTTCAAAACAGCCGTGAAAACGCTCGGCGGCCTGGAAATCTTAATAAACAACGCCGGCGTGATTAATGAAAGCGACTTCTCGAAAGCCATTGACGTAAACGTGGTAAGCGAGAGAGCGATTCCTCGAATAATTACGTGATTGTTTAACATGTTCTTACCCTTTGCTATCATAGTTCCATATGCGCCTTGTCGCTATCAATGAAAACATAAAAAGCTTCAGATAGTGTGACGTTTTATTATTTTTCCATTGACGTTGCTGTTACTGAATCTTTTTATTCGTTGCAAAATTGGAAATGGTAATGTTATCAATTACATTTTCATAGTCGAAACGACTAAATTACTGTGATCCTTAGGGAAGAAAGAAGATTCTATTTCTTTAACTCGAAGACACAGAAATACCATGATTAGTATATTAATTTCTTTCATTTCATTTCATATTTGTACAATGAATTTATCGTCATTATTTGCTTCGAATTGAATACACATCTACGTAAAACAGGAGGCCAAGATACCACATTCTAAAGTGCAAAAAATTATGTTTACGCGGCGCGTAAGATTATTCATTTTCGTGAATTTCAATGCATTCACAAGTGTCGGGCGGTGAAACGTTTCAACGTTCCAAGGAAAAATAATAACTGTAAAATGTTTTCCGAGATTACGTGTCGACAATACGTCATTGTAATTTGTTGAACGAGGTCAATTTACGTAGACAGCTGTGATACGCGGTACGCTTCTGGGAATACAACAAATGCAAAGGGACGCCGGCGGCAAAGGGGGTGTTATCGTGAACATTTCGTCTGTGGCTGGTCTGCACTCGATATCGCAGCTTCCCGTATATTCTGCGACAAAGCATGCGGTGGTTAGCTTCAGTCGTTCCTTTGCGGTGAGTTCTAAGCTCTATGCAATAAAAAACAATTCTTATCTTTCATGATAAAATTTGAAAGAAATCTGAAAGTTTTCACACCCCTCAGATCGAAGACATTTAAATCTACTTGCAGTATTTATAATTGCAACGCCTAGATGTAATAGTTATTATTAAATACTGTATAAATAAAAGCTGTACAAGGAATAAAATAAATTTCTAGACATCCATATTTATATGTATAAGGTTCTGAATAATAGGATTCGGCTAAACTACTGTAGAATATGGTCCTTATAAGTATATAGATTATTACTAAATTTCAGTAGTCATATCTGAATATTCCTTTTGTTGTATTAGCAACCTTATCACTATCAGAGGACAGGTGTGAGGATAATAGTTCTGTGTCGTGATTTTACTCAAGCTCCGAACGATCTCCCAGAAGGACAATCTTTGTCGAAATATCAACCACACAGGTAAGATCTGTTCTAAAACTATTAGAATACTTTGATTTAGTATCCAATAATTAGTATCAATTATTTACAATGTTTATCTCCTACAAAATAAACTTAATATATTTTTCTTAATATTATTTACATCTGAAGTTAACTTAAAAACAGTTTTCTGTTTTTAGTAGTAAAACGAGTAATCCTGTTGCTTTTCTATCCATATTTCTTTCCATCTGACAAACATATAACAATAATAATTCATTTATTTTATATTTTTTTTGTTGGTTGTTGATTTATACTTTTCATAATGTAAAATATGTGAATATTGAAACAATTAAATCTTAGATACAATATTTTACAATGTTATTTTTAACATTCTACGTTTTACTGTATTAGGGTGGACAGTATCGCACACGGATTAGTTTACGCGATCAGGTGCGCTCAAAATGGAAGCATTTGGATCAGCGAGGACGGGAAACCAGTCTACGAAATTCAATTGTCCGACAGTTTACCAGTGAAGCCGGACGAGTTCTCGTTAGAATAAAAATGAAACTACACTTTTAAAAATCCTATTATGAAACTTTTGTACATATAATTGAAGTATTATTATTGTAACTTCTGATACGTCTTATTTGTGATTCTCAATTAATAAAATTTCGTGATATTTAGGATTGTAAAGTAAAGTGTATTTCTCTGGGAATAATAATTCATGAATTTTTAATCGTTCAAATAATAAATAATCCTTTACAATTTCCCTACCTTCTGATATTACGAAATAAAAATTATTATTCAATAAAAATCGTTTTATTAAACTTCAACTGCTTCTTTAATCCCGACTTAAACTTAATACTATACTTGATCCATATGTAGTCTCGATAGATAAATTCTTTTAGAATAGCCTACAAATTTCGTGTATTTCTTAAAACACATCGAACACAGAGAAACAAAAACTCCAACAAAAGTTCATCCGTTTGTTTAATTAGATGTTCTTTCTATATTTCAATTAATTAATGAAGAATATTTCTGTGATTTGGCCCTTTGCTATCGATAAAATAGAACGTACCATTTACAATCTATGTACATGCCTAGTAATAAAAATGATTGTAGTATGTATAAATAGAATTTCTTCCGAAACTTCTTATCTAAAATGGCGTAGGCTCCACGAAGATTTTTATGTACATCATTTTTATTGGACCCCAAGGGTTATGATATTATGGACCACCACAGGCCCTGTTACATCAAAAACTTGAACTCTAATTCGTTATCTCCTATCGAACGGCTAATAAAACGAGGAAAAATGGCGACAGAGTTGAAAGATTGTTGACGCTCCTCCTTCTTTTTTATCGTTTACTTTAGATCTCGCTTTGAATGATCGCCACACAAGCCGCCATGCTATTAGCCGTGTACAGTGCGTTCACATCGGTCCACGTAGCGATACACGAGACGATAGTTCGGTCGCGAATCGCCACGCTGTGTGCACAAAACTTTATAATCAGTACTGGCGAACGATAACCCGGTCACATCCCGTTTAGCATCTACGAGGAGGTCGCCGAGAATTGAGAATGAATGTCAGAAAAAATATTTATCGCGCAGAAATTTTTTCACATTTAGTATTTCCATTTACTTTTCCGGGTACCATGAAATTATCTTTAAAATACTGAAAATGTCTTGAGTGTTATTATAATAAATCGATTCGAGCATTAGCAGAGAATAACGACCACTGAAATATAATATTAAAATAAAGGGAAGAACTTTAGGAATAGCTTGACAAGCTAAGAAAATATAAAGAAAACATGGTAAAGATTGATGCTAGTACAAAGAATTGAGAAAGTAGATCATGAGGAAATTGACAGAAAGTAAATGTCAAAAAAAATTGTTCATAATTTTGGCTAAATATTCGTAAGACATAAATGATAAATATTCGCAGAAAAGTAAATTAAAGGAGGGCAATAATATTCTGAAGTTTCTAACTATTATTGTTCTTTGAAATACAAGAAAAGAAAACGTGTGAATAGATAAAAAAGCAAAATGTTTCTTCCGGCTTTCTTATACGAGCCAGGTTTATCAATTGTTTTGTCTCGCGGAATATAATTATAAGGCTCGTGTCTTGTCCTCTTTCTCAGATTTCTGAAAACAAATATTTTGTCTTTAAAAAGTAATTCAACTTTTCAATATCTACTCGCGATTACTTATCGCCGCGTTATCATCGTATTAATTAATGATACATTCTAAACGTCGATTAACGTTTATTATTTATAAAAGAATTGTGGAAGACCATGATCGCAGGCGTTACAAAAACAAACAGTGTATCTTAATTACGAAGATTTTTGCTGAAATAAATAATAATACTTGATAATGACGTTCAGCGAGCGGCGCTTTGAACAATTACACCAATTGTCTTTCCTTTTGATGTCTGGCATAACGTTCTACGCTCACATTGCTGGCATACTTCCGCCGTTAAATTATAAAGTCAATCTTAATTAACGAACGAAAAGAAATAATAATTTGTTATAATCTAAAATTCCAATTACACTCAATTATTAAAACAATTATTAACCACTCCGACAATGCATTAAAAACACGAATTAAAAATCCAAACAATATTTTATATCAGTTTATAAAACTTGGATTCTAGTAACCAACTAAATTCTAAATCTGCTAACTAAACATTTTTATAGTGCTTTGTGCATGCTTTACTTCGTATCTCACAGATTCACAAAGCCGACAGTGCCTCGCGGAACCAATTGCAACGTCGGACAACGAAATGTTAGGATCCTGTGCGCGTGTGTACGATCGATGATTATCGTTGTGCATGTATCGTCACTATCGCATAACCGTAACAATGTAACGAACAAAGCATAAACGCTGAGAAAAGGAATCGTTGCACGGATTGTTTCCAGTTCAACGTCGGTCACGTAAGGAGTAAAGTTCGCAGCAAACCGATTTCTACCGGTTCGGTGTATCGCCGTTGAAACGCGTGGTTTCCCTCGGATTTATCATCAATACGGCGGAGCTGACATTAAATGCACTTTTCCCGCGATAAGGAGACGCCGAGCACGAGCTGCGCGTACGTCGACTCTTTATCACCCCCGTGTGCCACACGACTCTCTGTAAATTATGTTTTTCCGAGGATATCTATCTATGGCCGTCTCCGGGTTAGGCTGCGTGAAAAGAAAAAGCATAAAATGGCGACCGGAGATCAGGACTCTTATTATCTAGGTAATAAACTTGAAACGACAATAACACTTCATTTCGAATTACTCTAAAGACAATCGAGTTGGCAGTCCATTCAAAGAAACACGAGGAGGGAAATTTTCTACGTTTCCTCCATTTCGACGTCCGCCTTCGAAGTCTATTTTCAAAGAAAACTGCGAACGAGGGAATTCCCGCGTTAACAGTGTACGTACCGTGAAAGATCAAATGACTGGTTTTAAGATTTGGTTTAACATCAAGTTCTATATCATCCGATTAATCGGTTTTTCAATTTTTGTTTTTAATTCTGTTTCTGCTTCCAACAAGAAATATTTGTCGTTTAATTTATTTGCCTCATTTGTAACTAATTGTAATTTATGACTTATTTTATAACTAGTTACTTAACTGGTTAAATATATATGAAGTGTCTGTACGTTTAGTGTTAAACATTAGCGCCGTTTCCTTTCTGCGATACGTTCTTCAGATTAATCTTCTCGGTTTCGCTGACAAGAAAAGAACGAGATCGTTAGAAACTGATTGGGGAGACTTGGATCTCGTTATCAGTGACCAGTGACGCATTACGATTTCTTGTCGCAGTTCCGTTGTCGTCAAAGTTCAGCGAAGACGAATAGAGAAAAGTAGGCACACGCCTTGATCCCTGCTCTCTTTCGACGCATTTGCGCGTGGGAATTACAGAAGTTACGTATACTCCTGATTAATGAGCTGATTGACCGTGCCCATGCATTTTTATTATACGGTCGTTGCACCGTTACTGCGCTTTTAGCGTACGTCATGTAACACGATGATCTAATCGAATGTTAGGATCGCGCGATGCCTTCTACACTAGATAACCTCTCCGATCTGCCTTGACCATTCGTGCTTTCGTTAAATTGCTCGGTCACAATTTCGCATTTAAAATTCGAAAGAATTATAGAAAAGTACGAATTCGTGTTAGTTCGAATTTTGAAATTCGCGTTTAACTAATAATTAAAGTTTCTTTTAAGTTCCCCCTAATTTTAAGTCTTTATTAAGTCGCTATGTATCTACAATCACTATGTAAAAATAAAATATTGAATCACAGGTACTTTAAAAATAACTGTAGAGTAAGATATATGCAAATACGTCTAGACATACAAAATAACGAACAAACAGCATAAATTCGTTAGATCGATACTCACAACAATGGATAATATATATTCTGCGATTGAAAACGTTTTCTATGCTTCAAGTTCCTCGAGTTTCACCTGTCCGACTCGGATTTCTAAGACAAGACGTCACTGAATGCCGACACGCGTATAAAGACTTCTTCGACCGATAAAGAGTGCAGAAATCCCCTCAGTAAACGCGATACGAGCCGCGACGGAATTAATTAGTTCCAACGAAAAGGGTTAATTAACAACAGTATCGACTGTTCGAGATCCGTCTTCGCTAAACGGCTGAGGGGAGGAGGAAACATTATTCGATCCCTCTCGTCCATCATCCACGAGGCTCTGCCATGATAAAAATCCAAGGCGCGCCGCATCAGTATCGTCTTTCCCGCACTAATCGCGATGCGACAACCGGGAACGCGTATAAATACCAGCCTCGAACACTTGCCACGCTTCAGTAGACCGTGAAACGTCCACCCTCTTGCGATCTCCCGCTCCACAGAAGTTCTTGCCTCTTGTTCCAGTCTCGCGGAAGACATTTAGAAAAAATGGGTACGTCAGACCGTACTCCGAAACGGTGAAAAAAAAACACTCGATGAGGAAGAATAAAATGAATGTTCACTGTTTTAGTCGTTGTTTTTGAATCTGACACAGTTATGCTCTCATTCCGCACCGTAGACCGAAGAAGGCCATGTAACAGCAAAGTAGTAACGTTCTTTCGAATTCTCGCCTTCTCGGTTCATGGAATAAGTTTAAATTGTGAAGGACACGCCTTCGAGAGCTAGAGTATTAGCAGTTCCTTTGATTTTCTGTAAACTTACTGCTCTCTTAACGTTCTTTGTATCTTTTCTTCTTTTTCTTCTTCTTCTTAGGTGACTTTGTGAAAGCTTGGCACTTCGGTTTTCGAACTTTAACAACACTTGTAAAGTCATATTAGTCGATCTTTTTGTTAAAAGAAACGTTGTACAAGAAACAGCGTTTAATGTAAATGATTTGGATATTTCTATCTTTGATGTTTGATCTTACTATTTATAGTTCTTCTTTTATAGCGTGAAGGATAAATTGAATACGTACTGAATTCGTGTACACTTTACAGAAACTATTAACGTTAGCCCGAGACGCAGGCGGTCCTCCGCGTCCGAGAAGGCGAAGGAAATAGAGGCGATCAACGGACTTGTTTCAGGCAAAAATGTCTTGATCACCGGTGGCGCCGCAGGCTTGGGTCACGCGTTTCTCAATCACTTCTTGAAGCACGGTGCAAACGTAAGTAGCAAAGTGGATTTCGGAATCGTTCTATTTTCCTCGCAAAATTCTTAATTATTTCTTTCGTTGAACGATTTCAGAAGGTAACGATATTTGACATCGACGTGGAAACTGGGAAGAAGATTGAACTGAGCGTGGAGAAATCCTGCGGCGAGAAGAAGGTTTATTTTATTCACGTCGACGTCTCTAACTACGCGCGGATGACTGGTGAGTAATGAACGTAATTAGCGCAGACACATAATCGCGAAACATTGATAACATTTAGACACGAACTTACCGAATTCCTAAAATGCCACTGGCGTCTTGATAATGATGCTGATAACGATAACGAGACTGTCTGAACCTTGATATAACGAAAACATAAATATTTTGATGCCTTGAGAAAAACTGAACAATTACCAGGTACTTTATCTTTAAATTTAACCATTTTTTTATTAATTACCATTTCATCAATCTTTCAATCTTTAAAAGACTTTGACAGTTAAATCCGTTAAGCAATTAGGGTCTGAAACTGTTATTTTTCTTCTTTCGCGTACACGAACCGTGTTCTCTTTATTTAATACTTTCTGCACATTTATTTCTAATAGACCCGCGAATAAATAAATTTAATAATTGCAGAGGCGTTCGAGGAAGCGTTGAAATTGATGAATGACATTGATATTGTCGTAAACAACGCCGGTATCTTGGACGAACGAAGATGGGAAAGGGAAATAGCAGTCAATATTGTGAGTAGTGAAAAGGATTTTCTGTCTTCTTTATTGATCTTTCATCGACGATGCTGACGGAGTCATAATTACGATTAACGTTTCAGGGTGGGATGATTTCCACCGCGATGCTGGCTATGAAATACATGAGTAAAGACAATCTTGGACATGGCGGTACTTTAGTGAACGTCAGCCAGCACATAGACATCAAGAGCACAGCGCAACTTCCGGTTTATACGGCCACGAAGCACGCCATCATCGGCCTGTCGCAATCCCTCGCGGTAAGACGATTATTTCTATATTTATACATATATAATATTGTACAATTGAACATCCACGTTAATTGCTGATAATACGCACAACATGAATAGATAATGATTATCTACTTAAACGTTTACCCTTATCAACGACATACGAAATACAACTAATATTACCTCTAACAGAATTCTTCGTTTCAAAATCGATATCCAACATAAAATCATCAAACCTTACTCCGAAATAATTACAAAACAAAAGAACACATTCTTCGATTACAGTTGCGATTAAAGAAAGGACCGTGCCTCGAGGTAAATCTACGCCATTAGGCAATAACTGTTCGATCTTACAGCTATCTACCATTGCCATCCATACCACGATACCCGCTAAAAAGCTGATCCCCGCAAATGACACAAATCTGAATCAAATTATCACTAATAGCGAGCCAATCGGAGTCTGGATTTACTTAAGAATAAAAATAAATGTATTTCAGGACGCTTATCAGTACGAGAAGACCGGTATCCGCGTGATAACACTGTGCCCCGGTTTAACGGAGACGGCGCTCACAGTGGACAGCCCGAACAAGCTGCTCTCGAGGGTGATGAAAGCGGACTTTGTCAAGAACCTCGAGCAGTTGTCGATACAGACGTGAGTGGATTCCCTTCGTTGTAAACCGAGCCTCGTGTGCCCTCCCGGTTTTCTTTTCTCTAATTGTTTATCTTCCGATTCCAGGCCGTATGTAGTGGCTCAAGGCCTGATGTCGATACTCAGAGTCGGGGTGTCTGGCAGCATATGGGTCGTCGAAAGCGGTCGGAATCCGTACGAAGTCTACGTACCGAATCCTCGCACTTTGCGCCGCGCGTACAAGAATAACTTCACGATCGTCGAGACCAAACCGATGAACAGAGGTCGTCCGATAAGGGAGGTCTGCGACAACACACGAACAGGTCTAATGAGTTGCGCTTGACGGTATGACGACGGGTTGTCTCGGTGAAGAGACGCGTTCCCCCGCGTTCCGGACGTCAGAACAACGAGCCGGTTCTTCCGCGACGAACGTCTCCCCGCAGAAATTGGCAATTTCTCTTTGTTCTTTGGGAAATTGTCAAAGGGTGACGTAAGCCGGAAACAGTCGAGCCGTCGAACTTCTGAAAACATCAATGGATGAATGAGAGAGATCCGATGGCTTGTATTCTATCAACGGGACAGATGAGAAGCAGTTAAACATTGATTCGAATCGAATGAATGATAATACAAATCACGGAAGATAACGTAATAGCAAAGTGTTAAGGTGAATCGTTCGGGATACGCCGAACGACTGATACGATATCACGTGTTCATAGACGTGTCGCAACTTGTACATAAATCGATGTAATTTAATGCTCGGAGATTGAAGAATAATTCGTATACGCTCGATGTATATGCTGTATATACGCTCGTGTCTTTTATTTGGAACTTCTGTTTTAGTACTGTCAATTTACAATTGTTTCCGATGAACAATAA